CAAAGAAACTTTTCCACGTAATCCGTCAATATGTATGTAAAATAAACAAAAAACGAAAACATTTCATAACTCCTTCCTATTTCTTTTGATCACGAACGAACAAAAAGCACCTGAAATGAGCTGAGCAAAGAACACTAAATCCGCTGGAATTGAGCGTCACCCTAAAACGTGATGACAGTTTTATCCGAAGGATCGGTGCATCTACGAAAACGAGGGTGGACTATAGACATTTCAGCACATACAAACATAACAATCGGTTCCTAAGGAAAATGTAAATAGTATTGCATGATGTTTTATGGGATTTTGTATTGAAAAAGGATATTTTGTTGATGTAATTGAAAACAAAATGTATTTAAATTTCTACTGTTACAAACGAATGCATAAGAGGTATGAAATATCGAGATTGTCGATCGATTGTTGATCGAATTATAAGAGATATAATAATATTTCCAAATAAGAGAACTAAATCGGTTCTCATAGAAACCAGATGCAAAAAACTAGTCATTATACAGGCTCTTTGAACGAAACAAGCGATAAATACTTAAAACTAGAACTAGCGATAAACGATCATTTTGAAATCCATCAAGCAAACGTTTCTCGTACCTACCGGAGCTGTATTTTAACCGCAAAAAAATAGTATTCCCTTTTTTTAAAAATCATTTTCTATTTTTTCGCAGCATTTCATAGGATCCTAGACGGCGGGATTTCATAATGCGTTGCATTTTCTGTACGGAGCGAGGGTCATTAAAATCTGCTGGAGCGAGATAATGATAATTAGTGATGTGCTGCATTGGAAACGGTAGTCGACTGAATCGACTAATCGATTTAGCAGCTTGATTTAAACCATAGATAAGCTTTGCATCGCAATTTCATTTTCGATTAAACTCAAGCTTTTGTGTTTTCATTTTAAGGCGAGTTTTCAATGCATAATCTTGTTTATTATCACATTTTATAGGTATTGTTAAATAGTTTTAATAAACAGTTCAGTTGGAAATTGTGAGCTCAATTTGTTCAAGCAACGACACTTTTTAAACTTTTGTTTCATTTTAAAGTTTAAACATGTTAACTAAATAGTATGTCTGTGTTAACTAGACTACATGTGCTGAAACGTGTATAACTACTTACATAACCTCTACATTTTAACATACACCATACCTAAAGCCTAAGTATAATTATTTTTTGTAACAATGCATGATTAAAATAATATGCAATAAGTTTAAAATTCACAAAATATCAATAGTTAAAGAGATTGAATTCACCTAAAGTTTATTTTACCAAATAATCGATTAAAACACAATCGACTAAACACATCAAATAACATAAACGCCACATCCCTAACAGTAATGATCACGACCGCAGACGTTCTCTGTGTAATTGATATATAACGAATTTTAAATTATAATGGCGGTGTGAAACCTTCCACGCCATTACATCTTACAGCCACAAATTACGTGCTTATCATAACGAAGGGCCATTCAAATGTTTTATCGATATAAGAAAAGTGTAATTGATTAGGAAAATTTTATTTTTTTACCTTTTTTGGTTTCCCAAAAGAATTAGAACATGTGAAGTTTGCCATGGAAAAATGCAACTTATATTGCTATTTAACTGAGTCACCTTTACCCTATCTTTTATTTAATATACATAGGTATACATAGGAACATATGTAATTGTGTCTTCTACATACATTATTTATTCTTCCCATTTTCAAGTTTTGTAATTTCTTTTCGAATGTTCATTGCACAAATAATTTTCAATAACATACGGTTACTATTTTAACGAAATACCGAGTAAACAGTACCCGGAGCATTGCATTTATTTGATTTTCCCTCGGCATCCATCAAAACTTTAACTAAGAGCAACGTTTCCAAAGTTTGTCAGTTCTGAAGTGTTCCCTAAATGCGCACAATCACATTTATCAAATAAGATGTATGTGCCCCAAACACAGGTATGACAGTAAAAACTTGTACGGTACTCACATGAAATTGATTTGTGACTACACTTATCTTGAACTTCGTAACGATAGCTACGTATGTAGCTGTAGTTAGTCATATAGTTGGAGTACAAATTAGAATAGACTTTTGTGTCCAGATTATAATTGGTTTAGGAAAGTTAGTTGAACCACAGGAACATTTTAATCATGATTCTGCAGACCAGACAATACAATCAAAAAAGCAATTTGGTAGCAGTAGTGACACGGTAGAGGTAAAACAGCCTATACGATTTCAAATACTTCAAAGCCACATTGTTCCGATAAATTCAACAAAAAACTATTCTTTGTTATTTGGTTTTTACGGTAGCGAGTTCAATAGAGATTTATGTTGCGAAACTCACCTGCAATATACCTCTAGGAGAAATCCTATTGTGAACTTTTTAAACATCAAATATTCATTCACAATAACCACACCAATATTTTATCATACCGAAAATTTATTCAGAAGAAAAATCTTCATAATCGGATATCGTCCATTATTGACATTCTGTGCTCGCAACCTGAATACAGGATCGCCGTTTTTTGATTCCGTCCGTTGCAAAAATCATTACCATTTTAATTCAACCGTCAATTTTTTAAAAGTACAAAGATAAATGATTCTTATATACCTGGCATATAAATGAAAATAAAATGTTGGGTCCTTTTTCCCAGTCGATGAAGATACTACAATGGTATACCTACACATGTCTTATAGCTTCGAACCTCCGCAGCATTTAAAGTATTTTTTGTCAAATGTAAAGACAGTTTTAAGGAGGTCTATGTATATCATATTCTATTTTATTTTTATTTATTTATTAAGAGTTACTACACTTACATTTGATTATACCACTACAATAAACACAAAACATACAATCGAAAAGGAAAGACCCCAAACAATTACAGGTAACTACAACATTCGTACATTCCAGTGTCGGTTCGACCGGAGTGATACCAGTGCCTCGCAAAAGACCGACGTGAAACAACACTTGCATTGTATTTCGTCGTATGTATGAGGTTTCCAGCCGCCCAGTTACCGGGTCCCCCTTTCCCAATACCTGATTCCTAATCCCAAAAGGCCAGTAACGCACTTGTAACGCCTCTAGTGTTCCAGGCGACGCCAATTGCTTACCATCAGGTGATCCGCCTGTTCGTTTACCAACTTATTCCATAAACAAATTCACTGACAGTGTTGGGCAAAATTTAGTTAACTAATGATTGATGACTAATGATTATTTAGTTTAATCACGAGGTGATGACTAACGATTGATTAGTTTTAATCTTAATCAAATAATCATGATTATTTATTTATGATTGATATTTTTTAATACGAGATAAGGTAAAATATTTTTTCTGCTTCTTAAAAAAATACTGAATTGGACACAAAACGTTACTGTAGGTTAGGTT